TATTCGAGGATGTCTCGAACGAAACGGCCATGTTGACGGGACTAGCGAAAAGTGTTGTGCGAGTTGTTGCCAATTGTCCCTCGCAAGTTTGTCCTTAGTAAGCTTGGTCTAGCAAACTCCCATCACCTTCTCGTTCCGAGTCGGCGCTTCCCGTAATCCGCCAAGCGAAAAGCCCCAGGCGATTTGTTGGTCAATGTCCCTCGCGATAGTTATGCAATTATGTGTTCTTAGTAAGCTTGGCCTAACAAACTCCCATCGCCGTCTCGTTACGAGAAGGCGCTTCCCGTAATCCGCCAAGCAAAAACGCCCGCGCGATCGGGCACCAATGGTCCCTCGCGAGCTAGTTCTTTTTATGGTATCAGAAAACTTGGCCTAACAAACTCCCATCACCTTCTCGTTCCGAGAAAGCGCTTCCCATAATCCGCCAAGCGAAAAGCCCCGTGCAGTTCCGAGCCAAGTGTCCCTCGCGAGTCCCACCAGCCCTTTTAGGGCGTAGGTGGTCTAGAGCGATTCCTCTGCCAACCCCCTTCTTTCCCTTCGGGGAGGGGTTTACCCCTTCCCCTTACCCCTCCCCACCGACCTGGACGAGGGGTTCCGCGGATCGTTGGGACGTCCAAGATGGCCCAAGACGGCTCCAAGAGCGAAAAAGCGAAAAAGCACAAAACATTGATGTCCCTTAGGTTTTGGAAGGATTTTGGCCTCAACAAGGGCCTCAGAGGCGACTCGAGGCACTCTAGAGGGGCAAGGCCAATATACGGCCCCCCCTTCTTTGATAGATCTCCTCCAACATGGCCCCAAGATCGCCCCGAAGGCTCCCAAGAGCGCCCCAAGAGGGCGCCAAGAGGCCCCAAGAGGCCCCCAAGAGGCATTCAAGAAGCTCCCAAGAGACCCCCAAGAGGCCCAAGAGGCTCCCAGGATGGCCCAAGACGGCTCCAAGAGCGGAAAAACGAAACAAGCACAAAACATTGACTCCCCTTAGGTCCTTAGGTTTTGGAAGGATTTTGGCTTCATGAAGGGCCCAAGAAGCGATTCGAGGCACTCTAGAGGGGCAGCGCTAATATATGACCCCTCCTTGTTCGATAGATCTCCTCCAACATGGCCCCAAGAGCGCCCCGAAGGCTCCCAAGAGCGCCTCAAGAGAGCCCCAAGAGGGCCCCAAGAGGCCCCAAGAGGCCCCCAAGAGGCCTCCAAGAGGCTCTCACGAGACCCCCAAGAGGCCCCAAAAGGTTCCCAAGAAGCGAAAAAACACAAAACATTGATTTCCTCTAGGTTTTGGAAGGGTTTTGGCCTCAAGAAGGGCCTCGGAGGCGATTCGAGGCACCCTAGAGGGGCAAGGCTGACATACGACCCCCCTTCTTTGATAGATCTCCTCCAACATGGCCCCAAGAGCGCCCCGAAGGCTCCCAAGAGCGCCCCAAGAGAGCCCGAAGAGGGCCCCAAGAGGCCCCAAGAGGCCCCCAAGAGACCCCCAAGAGGCCACAAGAGGCTCCCCGATATACGCAAGAGGCCCCCGTGACCGCCAAGAGGCCCCAAAGACGTCCCAAGAGGCCCCCGAGCTCGCCATTGTCCTCCTCCTCCCCTTTTTTGTTCCTCCTCCCTCCTCCCCCTCCCCCTCCCCCTCCTCTTCCTCCTCCTCCTCCTCCTCCTCATTCTTCTTTTCCTTCTTCTCGTCCTCCTCGCCCGCGCAGCCCTCCATCTCCTCCTCCTCCTCATTTTCCTCCTCCTACTCCTCCTCCTCCTCCCCCTCCTGCTCCTTTTCCTCCTCCTACTCCGACGACGACGGCTCCTCCTACATCCTCCCCCTTTTGGGGCATATGGCGGCTCACCCCGCCCTTTGTTCTTCTGCATGCTCTACCGCTCCCCTCATAACCTCCACTCCCCTGGGACTCATTTCTGGACGGGCTGGTGGGGATATTTTTAAGTCAGCGGCCGCGGGCGAGCGCGCCGGCGGCGAGTCAAGTCAAAGCGGGCTACGCAGCGAGGAAGTAGGCGAAAGCAACGGAGACAGGCCACGCCTAACGCGGCAAACCGAGGCCTCACGCGGCAACCCAGCGGCGGACCGGCGGGTGGCAAGGGCAGCTGAGACTGAGTCGAACTGCCAGCGTGCAAGTATGCATGGCGTCGGACGCACCAGGAGGTCGGGACAAACGACGACCCTGGTCGAAAGCCGAAGAATTAACGCATGGCCCGAAACCCGGACAACTGCGTGAGCACCAGGGTGGCCGCAGCCAAAGCGCCGTCGGTCGAGGTGGAATTTAAAATTGCAAGGGCGAAGCCCCGGACGACTGCGTAAGCGTGAATACCAGGGTGGCCCGAAGGACCGTCGGTCAAATAATTAACGCCAGGAGGCGGAAGCGCTGGCAGGCTGCAACTTCCAGGGTGGCAGTAGCCGAAGAGGCCCCGAAGCAGCAGAACGCACGAGTGCGGGAAGCAGCGGAGCCGCGACGCAGCCAGACTGGCGCGGGTCACCACGAACCAGTGCGTGAAGTGGCGTCAGGTTGACCCAACACGGGCCCGGTGCCGGGCCACGAGCTCGGAGCTCACACGCAAAGTGACGACGGGCGGAGGGCACCACGGGAAAGACCCAAGCCTGAGTCCAGGGAGCCAATCACACGCGGCGGGAGCGCAAGGGACAGAGCGATGCCGTGACGGCCGCCAGCCCAGTATGGGGAAGGAACGCTGGTGAGGATACTTTTTGGTCGCGGCCGGAAGCGAAGGCGCAGGCGGCGGGTCGGTAAGTCCGGGGCGCGGTCCTTACTAATTTACAGCGAGCAGCAAACTAGAGCGCGGGGTCAAAACTAAGCTGCCTAAGCCGCCGAACTGCGCTGCGGTGAGCTGGGGGCGCCAGGGCCAGGAGGTCGGAAGCGGTCCACCATCACCGACATGCATCAAATTGCCAGGTCAAACTGAATCAGGCTGGTGGGGAAATGCAGGAAACGCAGGCCAGGATGCCGATGCTAGTAGCTTCCACACATCACTTGCCACGAAAGTAATTAGCTGCACCAGGGTAAGGGATCCGCTGGTGGGGATACGCGAAGCGTCTAGAAATTGTTCTTTATTTGGTCTTACAAAGCTTGGCCTAGGATGTCTCGAGCGAAACGCCAGAAAAAAAGGGGAATCCGCCGAGCGAAAAGTCCCGTGCAATTTCTAAGTCACAATCCCTCGCGAGCTTGTTTCTTATTGGTTCTTAGAAAGCTTGGCCTAACAAACTCCCATCAACTTCTCGTTTCGAGAAGGCGCTTCCCGTAATCCGCCAAGCGAAAAGCCCCGTGTATTTTTGTTGGTCAGAGCCCCTCGCGAATTTGTTATGTTTTGTTATTGGCATTCTTGGCCGAAGAAACCCCCATCACCTTCTCGTTCCGAGAAGGCGCTTCCCGTAATCCGCCAAGCGAAAAGCCCCGTGCAATCCCGAGCCAGCTGTCCCTCGCGAGTTTGTTATTTTTTGTTATTAGAAAGCTTGGCCTAACAAACTCCCATCAACTTCTCGTTCCGAGAAGGCGCTTCCCGTAATCCGCCGACCATGTCGGCGTGTGGAATAGGCTCTTTCATTCGTCGCTGTTTCATTCGTCGTCTCCTCGTCGTCGTCGTCGGCGCCGTCGCCATTCAAAACTTTCTGCGGGGTATCCTTCTCCAACGCGCCAGCCGTTGTCTCTCTTACCCTGGGCCTTTCATTTCAAGCGTGGTAGCCAAAACGTCAATAACGAACGTCGTAATTCATTTGAAGGGAAGCCCCTTCCCTTGATCCCTTCCCCGCTGGGCGGGGGGGCCCGGGGGGGGTCCCGGGGGGGTCCCGGGTCAGAATGACCCAACCCCCCGAGGGTAGTTACGCCCAAAATGCCGAACGATCGGTCCAAGACGCCAAAGTAGCCTCTCCAGACGGCCCAGGAGGTTTCCAGGACGCCCCAAGAGGCCTCCAAGAGCACTCCCCAGAGGCAAACATGATTGACTTTCCCGACGTTTTCGGTATATTTTGGGATTCTCGCCTTTTCGGTTTCCCGACACTCCAAGACGGCCCAAGAGGCCCCCAAGATCGTCCCAAGAGGCCTCCGAGAGCCCAAGGCCTAAGAGGCCCCCAAGACGGCTCCAGGAGGGTGCCCAGACGGGGGACCCGAACGGACATTTCGAGCCCTCGGCCTGAGAGGCTCCCAGGAAGCGCCCAGACGCCCCCAAGGCGCCCCCCAAGAAACCCCCAAGATGCGCCTGGGAAGCCCCAAGAGGCCCCCAGGAGCATCCCAACAGGCCCCTAATAGACTCCCAAAAGGCTACAAGGTGACCCCCCAGAGGCACCGGACAGCGCTCCGAAGAGACCCCAATAAGCATCCCTGAGGACTCTGACCCACGTCAGCATCGTCGTCGTCGTCGTTCAGGGTCGGCGGCACCGGCCGTAAGGTTTCTCCTATCAAATCGAACAAGCTGCTTACATGCATAAGTCCTTCAACGCCCCGCGTTGATCATCGCGACCAAGGGCTCCCAGACAGCACCCGCAGAAAGATGCACCAGTGGGCCCTTCAGGGAAACAAAAACCCATAAGTGCACCTTCACAGCGCGCTCGATTAACTTAATAACATACCACAGACGCGCATCTCTCGCCTCTACCAAATCACCTTTTTGGGAGAACCATCTGAACGGCTCCAGCATGGCCCCTAAACTCGTTTCAGAGAAGGCTTGATGGCCCGGCATGGCCTCTTTCCGCCCTCCCATCTCTTCCCACCCCGCGCCCTCTCATATCACTCCTCCGTTGTCGTCAAAGGCGCGGCCGCCGTCAAAATCGTCGTCGTCAAAAGCGTCGCTGTTGCGGCGCTTCCTGCATCGAAGAGGAGGGCAGAAAGAGAGGAGTGTTAGCGCATCAAGACCCGAGGCATGTGCACGGACGAGGGGGGACCAAGGAAAGTGTTGAGCAAGAAAGAGGGGACCATGAAACCGTACCCCCTCTCGGAAGCCCCCATCTCCCTCGAGGGCAGACATGCGACACAACCACATAAGGAAAAAAGGCAAGGCGCCGGGTTGAACGGCGCTGGGATAAACTCAGTCGCCTCCGCTCGCATGGCACTGGCCGCCAGGCCCAGCTTCTCGAGGCACACCAGCTGCGGGATGCGGGCCGAGCGCCCAGACAGACGCTGGGGAGGGGGGAGGATAGGGGACGAGGCCGCCTGGGCAAGGTTCGAGCAATTGGGGTCGGAAGATCGCTCCCTCTCCGATGCATCGGCGACGCCGGAGTGGAGTGGGGCTACAGACCTCGAATAGGGGATCCACTACACCATTCATGTACGTACCCCAAGATTGATTCTGCAGTCGAGTCTACGAAAATCACTTAGGAGTGGATGACGAATCTACGAACCCTCTGCGTATTTTCATCGATTATCTGGGAAAACAGTTTTGAGGAACATCAATTTTGCAGCCGATCCCCTACTCGAAGAACGCGCCGCCTCGTCGATGCATCGGCGACTCGGCGCGGCGCCCTTCGACCCCATCTGGTGGCTCTCTGGCCCCGTCGGGGCGGCCCGGGGCTTGGGGTTTCGGAAGTGGTCTCGCGTGTGCCATGGCCCCTTGCGTTGTGATATGATCACTAAGGCAAAGCCAGGACGAGGACACATTCAGGTGAGGATAAGTCGAGAATATCTGAGATCTGGCGTCTGCGGAGGGTGTCTTGGGCACCGCGGCCTTCTCGTTCTGGAACGCTCTGGAAATGATTATCCTCGTCCTGGCCAAGTTCGGATCACGACGAAAGGGTGGGGAATCGTTTTCGCAATCTGGGGGCCCTGACTCGGGCCCCGAACCCGTCAAAAGACGACCCTGGGATCCAAAGCCGGTCCCAGGAAAAAGGTCCAGGCCTCTGGGGGCTCACGCTGTGAAGAGGCCACGTAAAATAGTATTTCGCAGTGTATTGTTTCATGGTGCTCATCGGTCGAAATCCCATCAGCCCTCTGGTCTGGGCGAACGTGGTTTTGCGGGCTTCCTCTTCCATCTCCCCCTTCTTCCCCTCCTGGGAGCCATGTGTCGAGACGCAGGTGTCTGGCACGGGGATCGCCCGCGGTGTTTCCGGAGGCGTCCTGGGCGCTTACCTCGAATATTTGGGGGTGGGGGGCCGCTCGGGGGGTTCTCCGTACCTCAGCTCGGGCAACCTCGTCCAAATGGGCACGGACCTGCGCAGGGGTACCCGGTAGTGTGTGTGTTCGGGGTCTCTACTGGGTGTGGCCGGGAATTTCCGTGCGGAATGAGCACCCGCGTCTATGCAGCTTGTGACTGCATAGGCTGCCGCCGTGATGTCGGCTGCTTGCAGTGCCACTCGGACCTGTGTCATTTGCTGGTACTCCTCTGCATCTGGAAACCACGCGAAGACTGAGGAGACTTGTATGACGGAGCCTGAGCCTGTGGTGGCTTCGACGGCAGCGACCACCCTCGCCGGTGGGAGCTGCCCCAGGTCGGTCAGGTTCCAACTTAGGTGGAAACCCGGTTCAGGATCGGCCATGCGGATGAACGTGGGGCCTCTATTCCACGGGCCTTCCATGAGTATCCTCCGCGGGGACGTCGCAGCGCGTTCTTTCGCGTCCTAGAACGCAGGGGACGTGGTCTCGAAGGTGCCTTATGATTGGGGCAGCGATTCTCTCAGACGCTTGTAGCAGAAGGAGCCCCGTGCTGCACGCACCGACCCGGCATCCCCGGGACCGCGCTGCCAGGGCCGTGATGTGGCGGGCTAGGGGGATGGCCTGAGGAGACATGGGGATGTGCACCGAATCGCTGGACTCCTGCATCCTCCAGGTGCATGCAGTGGGGGCGGCGACTACCGCCCATTGCATGACAGCCTGAAGGGCGTTCAGGGGGGAGCGGTGGGGGACGTGCCTCTGCTCGGGAAGTGCGCGGATGAGTCGTATGACGTGATGGAGCAGTGGTTGAAGTTCGGTGCTCAGAAGGTTGGGGTTGTTGGGGAGACTTATCTTAGTGGTGCTCCACCGAACGTGTGCGTGGCTGTTGGCTTCGACGGCTCTTCTCCAGCGTAAGATTTCAGCCACGACAGCCTCATTCGTTGTCTGCGGGACCAGAACGTTCAGCGCGTCTCCGAGAGCCGCGTCTCCGTCGTCTGCCTGCGGCCCGCCCCAATGTACGACTACGGCTGGCGGGGACGCCAGTCGGTAGGGACGCTCTGTTATTTCGAACTGGGCGGCGACCAGCTGCATGAGCGGGGGGGAGGCGCGACCTGTTTGGTAGGGCGTTCCGACTGGGACAAGATGCGCGATTCTTCCAGCTGCTCTGGTGCCCCAGTGGGCGCATGCGATGGTGGTGAGCTCTCTGGGGTCAGGTCCCCCCGGGGTGGGGACTCCTTCTGCGGCGAGCGCGAGCAGGGTACCGGGGCCACCCGCCGCGCTGGCTGCTTCGAGCGCTGCGTCCACCTGGCTGGCTCCAGCGTCTATAGGGAGGATAGCGGGGGGGCGCCCGATGTCGTTCCGCTGGTTTTCGCGGCGTTGTAGCACCAGGCTACGGATCATCTCCCATGCGTTGGGGCCAGAGATGACGAAGGATGCTGGGGCGTCGTCGGCGATGGTCTCCCCTACATGGGTTCTGGCGGAGATAATGAGGTCCGCTCCCGCTGTCCTGGCCGCAGCGACAATCATTCCGGCAGGGAACGAGGGGCGCCCAGATCGCATGCCTTGCGAAGGGGGCGGATGACGGAAGCGAAGCGTCTAGAATTCCATCCAAGTCCTCATTACGTCAACAAGAACCCCATTCCCTTTGTCCCTTCCCTGGCGGAGGGGGGGTCCTGGTGGGGGGAAGAGTAAAGATTCGCGTCCCCTCTAGGTGTCCTCCTCTTCCACGCTGGTCCTTCTCCAGCGCGCCGGTCCCCCTCAGGTCCTCCTCCCCAGGGGAGGAGGAATTCCAAAGGGGGAGGGGGAAGTCTGATACGCATCCGTTCCTGGGGGTCCTCCTCCGCCTCCCCTCCCCTCTCCCACGCCGGTCCTCCTCCTGTCCTCCTCCCCAAAGGGGGCGGGCCCAAGGGTTTTTTTTCCTCTTCCTTTTCCTTGTCCTCCTCCTCCTCCTCCTCTGCCTTCTATCCGCCTCCTACTTATCGTCCTCCTTATCCCCCTCCGGGTCGCCGTCGATGTCTTTCAAGGTCGGCGGCACGGGCCGTCAGGCCTTCCCAGTACAAAGTAGTGAGCAAAATAGAAGAAAAAGTATAAATCACAAAAATAGAAGAAGAAGTAGTAATAGTAGTAGTAGTAGTCGTCGTCGTCGTCGTCGTCGTCGTCGTCGTCGTCGTCGTCGTCGTCGTCGTCGTGGTCGTGGTCGTGGTCGTGGTCGTGGTCGTGGTCGTCGTCGATATAGTAGTAGTAGTAGTAGTAGTAGTAGTAGTAGTAGTAGTAGTAGTAGTA